TGTTTAAGGAGCTAATTGTTCCCATGTTTCTTTGGGATGTCATATGTTGACTCAGGGGATTAGTTTTCTTGTAAAAACTAATCACTGTTTTCCAGTTTAGATCTTCAACGGGCTTCTCAAACACTACAAAGAATACTTAAAGAACTCAGTTTTCTTGTGAAAGGAATAAGTGGCTAAGGTTATGTATCTGCTGCTGTTCATTACCCAAAAAGAGTTATTCAGAATCAGAAATCAAGTTGACTGGTTAGTTTCAGCTATTTGAAGCATTATATAGATTCCAAAAATGGAATTGTGTTCTGTTTAGAGAAAAGGCAGTTGGATTTATCAGGACGAAGATTAATTGGCTGATTTCTTTTCTTATTTTAATTAGAGTCTCAGCCTTTACATCAATGGGAGCCTCATACACTCAACCGTGCCAATTTTGTAGTTCTTTATACTGGACAATGACAGCTGAAACAACTAACTTCTATGACTTATTTAGAAAAATAAGGAAAACAATTAAAAGAGGCAACAGCCTATCATCTGTAGTCCTCTCACCTTTTTAGCTTATTCCAGCTTTTCTCTTTTTTTTTTTAATTTATCATCTTGTGGCTGAAAAGAGCTACAGCTGCTTGTTGCAGCTCAGCATCAGTATAATCAGCCTATCAAGTGAACACCATAATCAGAAGTCCACAAGCATGCTAACCATGCATTGAGAAAAATGTCAATGTCGGAAGTTATTTTTGAAGGTCTGACTGCAATACTGCGAGTTCTTGAGCATGTTTCAGATATTTTCTTATAGTTTTCACAAAAATCTCAAATTGTTCATTTTCTTTATTTAACCATCTCTTTACAATTATAAATGACATTATTTTGTGATGCTTATAATCCATAGCATTTTATGCTTGGTCAGCCAATTTATTTAGTCTGGAATGCCATCTTGATACTCCTAAAAGCAACTGTATCGGACTTATGCTATGTTCACTTTTCTCTATCATCTTTGCTCTGTATTTTCCATTGGTTGTTCTTGAAATTGCATAGTCAAAAAGGATTCTACAATATTCTTGGTGTTATATGAAAGATCTCAAGTATTTGACCAAGCAATCTGCTTAGAGGGGTTTTGATGGAGCATGTGAATTGGGGAGGGTATTATACACTGGTACAAAACAGCTTGATTTGCTCGATTGTTTTGTTCTTTATGTTAAATGGGTTTGGTGATTTGCACTTCTGTTTTTGTTGAGTTTGATATTTATTTTCATTAAACAAATAAAAAATAGTTTGTAGCAAATTGATAGGATATTTTTGAAGTTTGGTCCCAAATAAATGTTTAACATATTTCTATTCAAAACTTTGTTATCATTCCTTTGTAACATCTGCTCTTTGTTAGGTCTGTAAATACTTTTTAGATGCAGTGGAGAAGAAGCAGTATGGTTGGTTCTGGGTTTGCCCAAATGGTGGCAAGGACTGCCATTATAGGCATGCGCTTCCTCCTGGTTATGTATTGAAATCTCAGATGAAAGCATTACTGGAGGAAGAAACTGAAAAGATAACAATTGAAGAAGAGATAGAAAATCAGGCAAGTGCAGTGCTGCTGCTTGTTATCTGTTTTCTTTTTCTTGTGCCTTTGTAGCATCTTCATGCTTATCCCTTTCTTCTCATGGCAATCTCATGCTTTTTTTATTGTCTGGAGTTTCTTGGTTTTCCAAGATGGGACTTTCTTTCATGCTTGTATGATCTTTTCCTTCCCCAGCGGGCAAAAGTTTCGACGTCAACTCCTCTTACTCCTGAGTTGTTCACACAATGGAAAAGGAAAAAGATGGAAGAAAGAGAAGCTGATCTTGCTGCAATGCGTGCTGATAGGGCTAAGAATGACCGCATGAGGTAAATTTATTTTTATTGTCCAGTACATTCATTGTACATTATTCTCTAATCATTGCAACTAATACCTTCTATTTATTTCAGTGGTCGTGAGTTGTTTCTGTCAGATTCAAGTTTGTTTGTTGATGATGATGAGGCATATGAGAAGTATAATAGAGAAGAACAACCTGAATCTACTGAGAAGGTAATCTGTTAATTATTAATTTACCTTAGTTTGGAGAGCATTCAATAAAATTGTTATACCAGAGGTTGTGTTCATATTAGTTTTTTGGTTAAAGAACTTTTTTTAAAAATTTTTATATCATCAATATGGTTATGCTCTAAATTATATTGGGGGTGTTAATGAAATATGATCTCAAAATTAAAAACACACCTGAAATTTATTGCTAAAGAATTTGCAATAAATTCTTTTGTCCATCCTTTGGTTTTTTGTCTTTTTTAATGATCGGTTTCTCACTTTTTTTAATCAAACTTCTAGATGGCTTTAGATCCTATTTCCTTGCCACCTCTCATTCTGATTGATATGGCTCCTCAGAGTGCTTTTTCATGTGCTTATATTTATATTGTCTTTTTTTGCATTATACAATTCATCTTTTCTTTTGTTGGTTTGTAAAACTTCTTTTTAAGATTGAATGTGTAATGACCCATCTACCAAACAATTTCTTTATTTTCATCATATTTTGGACTTCTGGTGCCTCATGAGAAAGAATATGACCAATTATTCATGATGTTATGGTGCCAACAGAGTAGTCCTGTTCAGGATGTTTTTGACTGTATAGACATTACTTTGCACTCTTTTATTCTGCTTGATATAATGATAAGAGTTATTAAGTTTAAATATGAATGTTCAGAAGGTGGCGCATTAACCTGAACCCACTAAAACTAAGAAAAACACAGATGTTGATTTGCATTGGGTTTTGATAGGTCTTACACATTCTTCGATGGATGGGATGGGATGCCACCCACGATAACACTGATAACTGACCTTTTTTTTAAGAGGTTGACTTGTACGTTGGAATCTGTTATTTATACTCCAGTAAAATTTATAGAAAAGCTTAACTTTACCTTTCCACCCAGTTCTTGTGAGCTTGTTATACCATTTTGATATCTGCTTTTAGTTTTAGCTTCATGGGCAGTGTTATTAATGTTTCAATGCTCTTCCGAGTAAATTTTTGATGATGTATTTGGTTTTAGTTGCAGGTCAAGAGTGAGCCAGGGGTGGAGGAATCAAGTTCCATGCCTTCTGTTGACATGAATTCAGAAATCCCTGATGATGATGATGATGATGATGATGATGATGAACTGGATATTGATGAGCTAAATGAATTGGAAGCAAGCCTATCTAGAACATCTATCCAGATACATGAGCCAGGCATAGAATCACAATCTTAAGATGCTTGCAATTAGCTGCAGCTCGTAGCCAGATGTTTTCTGTGGCCCTGCATGCCAATTACCTATGATGGCAATTCTGCACAATGCATTTCAAGGCTTGAGTTTAAAATCAGTAGTGTGATAGCCATGAAGTGATAGAACTTGGTTCTGTTCTAATCAAGGTCCTACATTTGGCTGTATCTCATTAAATTCTTATAGAGATTGCTTGCTGTGCCATAGAAGCAAGTTTTGATGCATATTTTTTCTGCTTCACAAGTTAAAAAGACACAGAGAATGATTATCACGGGGCTCTATAGCTAAACTGAAATTACTTTGTTGATATCATTTTATTTAATCTCGTTTGCAAGTTTATCATGTTTTTATAGTGATGACTCAGTGCTGATGCTGACACTGAATATTTAACTTCCAGGTTAGTTGAGTAATTACATCTTGATGCCTTGTTTGTTTGTTTTTTTTTTTCGAATGAGTTTGTTTCGTTTAGTGGTCTGAAATTTTGTTTATTTTTGGGTGAATTAGCATGTATTAGACATGATAATTGTAGTGTTATTTTTTATTGATGCCAGTGACGATACATGACTTGTATTGTTATGCTGCCTCTGGGGTTCTGTTTTCATACTCGTATGGGTATTGCTAAAACTGGTGGAACATGAGATAAGGAACTCTTATGCTTGTCATTTATTGGACATAACTATAGAAATGATTAGCTTAGCTAGTTACTGTTGTGATAGCATTCATTAGAATACATCAAATCTGACTAAAGATGGCATGTCATCGAGATTACATTTCCATACCATTCATCCCAAAATGCCTTACCCGTCACTTGTAAATACTACTAATCCAACACCCGGACCCGAAACTTGGCAACATCTTGCATGGTGACTTATGCATCTCTTATATCTTATGTTTTATATAATGGAGGCTTGCGGTTGCCCGTTTATAATTTTACATCTAGCAGCTCTCATTTTCAAGTGTTATGTTAGCCACAAGCCAGTCACCTGCAGCGTACCTGCATTCAAGTATATTATACTTCCAAATACTTGTGCATATTACACTTTTGGAACTCGGACGGAGGTTTAAAAGAGAACTAATATTTTTAGAACCTAATAGTAGTCGAAGCAAAATTGTGATCTTTAGTCAACAGCAGCATTAGGCTTGGAAGAATGCTAAAACTAATTGACTCATTATTGGTCACAATTATGTCAGAGGACTTGAATAAAAATTTAAAGATGGCCAAGTTATGATGAAATTAGGTCGAGGTTCTCAAATTGAGACGTGTGGGTTGGATTAAGGTCGATGATGTCGTAATTTAACCACACATCACAACTGCATGAAACTTAAACTACATAATAGAATAATGAGTAGCTAAAACTACATGAAAGTGAAAATGGTTGTGTGTATAAACAAACATATAAGAACTCGTGGGTATAAAATTGTATAAAAAAACAGAACAATCTGTCTCGCTCTTCTTATTCAATGCCTCTCATTTCCCTGTTCAAAAAGTTGGTGTCTTTTATTCTTTTGGACCCTCTTAGGTGATGAACCATCACCTAAGACTGCCACTCCGGTCTCCAGCAGGGACTCCTCCCATTGGTTGCTGTTCCCACCCGTTGAAGGGTGCGGTTCCGATCTCGACAAGGCGCTCCTTCAATTGGTCCTGAGCTCTGGGTCCCGTAAATGATAACGTCACGCGCCTTGCCCCCGTGGTCTCAAGACTTGGAGGTTGTTGTGCTGGGTATGCTTCGTAACTGAGCCAATTAGAGGGTGAGATTAGCGGAGCCTACGCAGGTTCTTCACCCATAACCACAGGTGTAAACCTGAATCCTGTTCCTTGTGAGAGAACTGGTGAGTGTACCTTCTCCGTTTTTGTTGGGAGCGTAGCGACGACGCCACCGTTGCTTGACGCTTCCTGACGGCTCGCTCAATTTATGTGCTTCCGCAGCGTATGAAACACTTCACCGCGGCAGTGAACGCTGATGGCGTCTCTCAGGCTGACTCTGAGGTCCCTCGGCGTGTCGCATAGAAGCTGCCCGCGATTCCCTCTTTCGCGTATTACGTCGAACACCTTTCGAGGGTTCGCCACCAACCTTTCTCCGCCTTCCAAGGCCGTCGTCTACGAACAGCAAGGGCCCCCAGATCAGGTCACCAGGTCCATTCCCAGTCCCTTTAATCTTTTGCTACTTCTATGGATATTTCTGATTCTGAATCAGATTCTTCCGCTGGCTGGTTTACCCTTCTCCTGGCCTAGTTACTTCAATTTCCTTATCTTCACTTTCAATAAGATTGGTTAAAGACGTTATTGTTAGACATAGGCAACACCTGCTGGTTTTCAATGTCATAACGTTACTTGGTGTGTAGGGTAATTGATCTCCCGCCCGTGGAACTGAAAGCGAATGATGTGTGCGTCAAGATGCTTGCGGCTCCTATCAATCCTTCAGACATCAACAGGATAGAAGGTTTGGCGTTTTTATTGCTCATTTTCTTGAAAGTTCAATTTTTGGGTTAGGATGGAATGTAAAGCAATTTTGGTTCATTTTGCGCTTAGCTGCATTATCTCTAAGTAGAAGGAAACATGTACCAGGATTTGATGCTTGCTGTTTTACGTGCACATTTTCCCCTTGAATCTTGGTTTGGCATATTTTCTGAAATGGAGAAATGTCTGCTTTAGTATACAAGATATTTCGCTCATACATTTCTTTCTCTATGTAGTAGGATTTTGTCTCAACTCACAAGTGCAGTATTTTTTTTCAATAAATCATACGTTCTTCTTCCCTATTTATTTCCAAGAAAGAACTATATCATTTGCAGTCTATAGCATCCCTGACCTTAGCCTCTGTTAATTGCAGTCTAGGCCTTCCATTGTATTAATCTCCAACGCACCCTCACAAGCTCACCTATATTATGCCCCATATGCCTAGATGGCTCTTTTTTTCACATACAAATTGATATGACATAGCAAGCCTCATTGTTGTATTAAAAGGTAAAACTGCTTTTAATCATAAGTTGAAATAAAGCACCTTATGATTTTATATAGTCAACTCCATTATGTTTAGATAGTTTTATTCCAGCAGACAATGAATGTTCGTTGGAAGTTATTACCAGCACATTTTGTGGCCATAAATGTTTCGCTAAATAATGCTAGAGCATCCCTAAGACTCACTAGCAGTTTGTTTATCTTTATTATTAGAAGTCTTTATGTCTGGTACTGCCATGGATTTTTGAATGTAGTTGATGCATCTTTTGTTAGAACGCTCATGCTTGCATATTTGCCTCCTAAACATTGTATTTCTATTTTCTATTTCAATTATAAGTACCTTGCTTGTGTGTTTCAGTTACGTCCCTCTGCATATTGGTGTTGGAGTGTCTATATGTAAGAGAATTTTTTGTATCATATTTTTGTGTAATACAAAATACAGTTTGTCCATTAGGTATCCTATAAGTTTACCTCTTATTTCTATTTCTCGCTTTTGTCCTTTTGGTTAAAGTATTATGAGCCAAGAAAAATTGATTTGATAATATGGTGCATTGTTCTGATACAGTAGGACCCTGAATCATTACCCATGGAGGTATTACCTTGGTTTGCCATATGCAAGGGTCTTTTAGCTGGATTTTCTATTCCTAGTGATTTTCGTTTAGATTTTTGTTTTTTTGTCTTGATTATTTTATGATGTCTTATAAACTCATATTGTTGTTGCGATGATAAAGATCCTATTTTGGTTAGAGATAGTATTTAAAAAACACCTTTTGAATTGTCCTTTGAAGTTGTGGATGTGTTTTTAGAAAGGATGTTGTTGAGTGACAAGATTTCTTAAAAAGGATATTGTTCTCGCATAATGCCTCTTGGTTATGTATGTATAATTTTTTTGCTTACTAAAAGTAAAAGTTAGATTAATCAATCTCCTTCAATCTTATTCTTCACTGGCAGGTTCTTTTGTGCTCCTTGACTTGGAGAAAACCTAGAAAGAAATGTCACATCTAATAACTGATAACAAACTGAGTTGATTCCAATGACCTTTATCGAAGATGCATGTCAGAATCATCTGCAGTGGTGCAAGTTAAAGAAGACATCATGTTTCAGTAATATTCTGAAACAAATACTCAGTCACCTAAGAAAAAAATTGATGAGTGATTGGATAATCTTATGAAGGACCACCATAATTACATCACCATAAAAAACACCTGAATTCCGTTGCCACTCCATTATTTTTGTTGAATTTGACTAGCGAGAGCATAAATCCTGCCGCAAAATCAAAACATAACTCTAGCACTTATTATGTTATCTTCTCCTTGTCTTGGAGACAATTTTGGAGGCCTTGACAATTCTTCAAAAAGCTTTTAAATCTCTGTATCTGACCCATACCAGTCTAGGACCTGGTCGTACTAGTACGAGCATGATATATACTAGTATACTAGCACATGATACAATGGCATACTGACCAGCACTGTGAAGGGGAAATAAAAGTAGGAGGAGGAGAAGGAGAAGAAGAGGAGGGGGGGAGGAGAAGAAGAGGAGTAGAAGGAGAATGAGAAGGAGGAGAGTCGTAGGAGAAGAAGATGAGGAGAGGAGCGGTGTAGGAGAATGAAGAGGCAGTGGAAGTACTTTGCATAGAAAGAGCTGTTCATCCTTATGGCTAGTGGAGTTTACGAATGCTCAGTTTTGCACCTGATTTTTATTATTTATTGATTATATGAATTAAAATTTGGTTTTCCTAATGTCTTCTTTCAACATATTTTTAAGGTGTTTACCCTGCGAGGCCTATACTACCTGCAATCGGAGGACATGAGGGGGTTGGAGAAGTATACTCAGTGGGCTCTGGTGTGTGTAATCTCTCAGTAGGTGACTGGGTCATACCATCTCCTCCATCCTTTGGTAAGTTTTTTCCTACCTGATAAATGCATCTCTTAAGTATTTATGTTTTTTTCATTAATCATAAATGGTTTACATGTCCTTTTTCTTAATAAATGATTATGTATTTGCTTCTTAGGAACATGGCAAACTTATATTGTGAAAGAAGAGACTGTTTGGCACAAAATAGATAAAGATGTTCCTATGGAGTATGCTGCGACCATTAATGTAAATCCTCTGACTGCTCTGCGGATGCTGGAAGATTTTGTCAAGCTGAGCCCTGGTCCTGTCTCTTTAGCATGCTATATTACAAAAGATTTTGAGTTCTAGATTTCTTTTCATTCAACATCCCTTGATTGTTCACTTCATGAAATCAGGTGATACCATCATCCAAAATGGTGCTACGAGTATTGTGGGACAATGTGTTATTCAGCTTGCTAGAATTCAGGGTGTCCATAGTGTAAATATTATAAGAGACAGGTGCAAATGAACTTTTACTGAACAATTTTGATTTCTTCTCTTCAGCTAAAGACTTGATACAAAATTATAGAGATTACATGATAAATATTCATCGAGTGCTTGTTTATTTCATGCTGATGGTGACTACAAACTAAATTGTAACTGATCATACCTAGAATCACATTGAAGAGTAGAACATCTTTAGCAATTGCCAAAATCTTGAGGGACTTTATACAAACTAAGTGGATGATAGCCTTTACTTTTTTAATCTTTCTTCATAAATACTAAAATGGCACATCAAACTATCTGATTCCCCAGTGGTTCATGTATCCTTTACTTCTTATTCTCATTTGCTTGCATGTCAACAGTCAATGATGGGTAAAGTTTCATGCTGTTGATTAAGAAGAGTTGAGCAGCATCATTACTCAAAATATTTAATACAGATATTTCCTTATTGCACACTTTATAGGGCTAAATTTTCTAGGAGCAGCACATGTTTTTCTCTTTTTTTTGCTGCTTCTGCTTTAGATGATTTTTTAAATATCTAGAGCACCATGAACAGACAAAAAATCAAGGTTAATTAAGGCATTCAACATTTTGCTTTTACTGTTATGTACTTTATCTTATTAAAACAATTTTTTATTTGTTCTGTAGCTAGTATCTAGAGATTGCCATTTTTTGGATTATTTGAGGTTTGACCAGGGTTTTGAAACCAAGACTTGGGACAAGTTCAACCAGAAAAAAATATCAATTTGATGATCTAACCTCTTTGCTTATGTGAACTGTATCTCTGACCTTAAGCAGCAGTAATTTGAATGAACTTAGAAAATGAAGTTGAAATTGAACCTATCATGCTGAAAATCTACAGTTAGTCATGTTATCTCTAAAGAGCAAAAGCCAAACCTTTTGGAGCCTTTCTTTCCAAACGCAATTGATAGTTTAAAGTAACAATACATATAGTTTATCCTTGCATATTATTCTGAGTATTTAATCTTGATTCCATATATGAAGATGATAATAACATTTTTAGATTCTCTATTTTTAGAGTATACCATTCGCTTCAGCTCCACCAAACTCTTAGTGGGACTATGTAACCTTGCTGACTGTGTGTATGTGTACTAGATGAGAAAATAGTAATAAATTTTAGTTTTACTTGATTCATACATATAACATAATGTTGTTTTGTAGTTAGAGGCTGAAGCTATTTCTTTTGTATGGTAAGCATGAAAGAAAAAATCTTTTAAAAGGTCATATTATTAGGGTGTTACAACTTAAAAGAAATCTGATTAGCAATTTTACGTAAAATGTCTTGAATTAGTTTTATATCTAATCCCTGGAATATACGAGTATCATGGACCAAGTCCTAGGCCCTGTTGGGTTGTTTGTAGACTTTCATGCAGCAAGATAGTACATTTTAAAAACTTTTGTTGTAAATATTTGCGAGTATAATACGTTTGTTCTTGTTATATTATGAAAGGCAGAATAGTTCTTCTTGTATTTATTTGGAGTTACTAGTAAGATTTTCAAGAATGTTTTATATCCATATGATCAATAACTAAATTTTATTATAAAGTTTGCTGTGAAATTAATAAGAATTGTTTATTGGGTAGATTTTTGAATATTTTATTAGCTTAAATGTTCAATTTTGTATCTTGGGAGTTCAAATTGGTTATTATAACAGTGTCCTGATTCAATTACTTTTCTACCGTGCATGTGAAGAGTTGGATCAGAAGAAGCTAAAGGAAAACTTAAGAATCTTGGGGCAGACGAGGTGTACACTGAAAGCCAGCTGGAAGTGAAGAACATCAAGAGTCTTCTGGTTCGATGACTTTTAAACTAGTCAAGTCTGCCTAGGAGTAGAATATTAGATATAGATATCTTCTACCGCTGCTATTTTGCCCATTGTGTACTTGCTGATGAGAAGTTTCCATGAGGATATTTTTTGTTTACTTTATCTTTTGAGTATTTTGTTTTGCACTAAATTTAGTCACCATTGTCAGGGTGATCTGCCAGAACCCATCTTAGGATTCAATTGTGTTGGGGGGAGTGCTGCTTCACTGGTTCTCAAGTTGTTGAGGTAACTCCAACATAGAGTAATTGTTTTCCTCCCTTTTTTGCTTAAGCAGATCAATACCTCAGTAACTGGTTGAGTACTATTAATTTTGTTGCATCAGGCAAGGAGGCACCATGGTAACATACGGAGGCATGTCAAGGAAACCTGTCACTGTACCTACTTCAGCATTCATTTTCAAGGTTAGTCTCTGTGACTGGAAAAGAACCAATATCTAGTTTAAGTACTCTTTTAGTTGCATGACATTTTGTATGTTACCCGAAGAGAAATGATGCCTCAAATTCAACTGTATAACAGGAGAGAAAATTGTTTTTTCAACATGTCTTGATTAAAAAGGTCTTTAGGTTTTGTGGCACCTGCTGATTTATTAAAACCTTAAGGATCCCAAGTTTAAATCTCAACTTATTTTTTCTCGGTTGCCAAATAATTTTGTAGTTGCTGCTGCCAGTTAAAGTACGTATGGTTTATTGTGACTAAGAACAAATGGTGCATGTGTAGCGACATTAATCAAACTAAAAAGCATGGTGATGTCTGTATAAGAAGGCCCTACAACAAAACCATGCTATGGTGTAACTTAGCTTGGCCGTTTAAATTCGAGAAGAAAAACATGTTTTCCTACTAGACCTTGAGGTAGAAGGATTCCTCTGGAACCAAATAAGTCAATCAACTAATAGCTGCTATTGATGCAACTTAGCCCTTGTTTTAGCTTTGACCGCTTCACGATCCATGGTCGTTTAAATTTGATAAAGAATACATTTTTTCTTCTAGATTTCAAGTTAGAAGGATTCACTGGAACCAAGTGGAGCCAATCAACTAATAGCTAGCACTGGTTATTGAACTAGAATTATTAAATTATCAAGATTTAGGCCTTTTCATACATTTGATTATTTTACTAAATATTTCATGCTAATAGGAACTCCATTTGATGCAAATATTTTTCTGTGTAGGATCTTGCTCTGCGGGGATTTTGGCTGCAGAAGTGGACAAATTCAGAGAAAGCTAAAGATTGTATACCAATGATAGACCACATTTTGACCTTGGTGAAGAATGGCAAGCTTAAGTACGAGTATGTATTTTATCTTGAGTTTGTTATGAACATTCCTCTATCAGGAAAATGTCACCGCTTTATTGCTAATTTTTTTCTACTGACCTGATTATATGGCATACTTTAAAACTCTTTCTTATTGAGAATTTAACATCGATAGAAATAATATTGTGCAGGATGGAGCTGGTTCCTTTGGAAGATTTCAGTACTGCACTAGATAAGGCACTTGGGAAATCAGGCAGCCATCCCAAACAGGTTATCAGATTCTAAATCACAGAAACTCTTTGTGTAAATGATGAAGAGGCATTTGCAATAAACAGATATGAAACATTACCTGTATCTGTTTTGTGTTAATTTTATCATTTCTTTATATTTTAGCTTCAACTAAGTAATAACCAGATCATTGCTCCATGAACTGTGACTAGCCAAATATGATATTTTTACAAGTAGCTAATAAAAGTATCAGCTTGGCATTACAATTATACATCAAGCATTTTGATCTTTCATAATTTGATGTTGAAACTCTTCTTGGTATATTCAAGTTTCAACTAGAATTAATTATCAGGCATGGAAGCAGCTATTGTACACATTAACAGGCATAATCCAACTTCTGGAAATGTGCTGATGGCATAAGATATCATGACACAAGAAATGGATTGACACTTAATGAACTAGATTGTCTAATCTTTTATCCTTCTTTACCATACTTAATTTTGTTGCTTTAAGATGAAGTTTGCAATAAGAATTAAGTAAAACTTTAGTTACGACTTGTGTGGTGAACTATGCGTCTTGGTAGTATGTTGCTTTGTTAAAGAAGACTAAACAACTTTTAACTGTTGGCTGGTTTTTTTTTTTTTTTTGGTTTAAAAACAAAAATGAAACATGCCTATTAAAATATAAATCATTTATTCATCTCTAAACATGCTCAAACAAAAGTTAGTTGGAATATCACATCTGAGATCTTTCTAAACGTGCTAAGGTGGCTAATATGTGAGCTTTCTTGTTCATATTACCAGTAATGTAAGACCAAGGAGATTATGTTGGCACTTTGACTGCCCATGATAAAGAAGTTGGGTTTTAAGTCAAAGGTATAATAAACCACAATTTGTTTTGATCCAAATGTCTTTCAAGCTTTCTTGAATAGCTCTTGAGAGATAATGAAAATAGCTAGACATTCAATAATATCAGGAGAAAAAACCATGACAAAATTTCATCCAGTAGCAATAATGGATCAAATAGTGGTTCAAATAGCGAACCCATACAAGCCAACTTAGAGGAAGCTTTGAAAGACCCATCACATTAAGCATAGAAACTATGATGAGGTGTTGTTATTTGGATAAAATAAGGCAAGAGTCTAGATACTACCAAGTGGATGGCAACATGGAATGACGGTTGTGTAACAAATGATTGTTCCAATAGATCTATAGAAACCACATGGAGTTAGCAATTAACTTATATAGGAAAATATCAGAATCCTTTTCAAGATCAGATCCTTCATTGATCCAAGTGCATTGTTCCCAAGAATTAAAGAATTTGAAAGAGTAATTGAGTTTAGATTCCACCAATCTCTAGTAACTATGATTGCTAACTCTCTTGGTTTCTATAAATCTATTGATTCCACCGAATAACAATTCTTCATCACCGTAAATATGGGTTAAGATCCATTTATTTTCTAAGCTTTTGAATAATATTTATTGAGTCTATTTAATTTAGTTAGAGTCGGATAGAGGTTTATTTAATATTTATTATTAGAGTCCAAGTTCTAGTGGACTTTAGGTGAACTTTATAAATAGTAATGTAATCATTTCTTTTCGACAGACAATGAAATATTATTTAGTTTTTTGACAAACCCTAGGAGGCCGATCCCCTCGAAGCGATCATTACCTTTTCTCCCATTTCTTTCATGATAAAACCCTAGGGTCTTATCAATTGGTATTAGAGCGATGATCCTTGGTGTTCTCGGTGTAGTGTTGTCGTAGCTATCATCATAAAAAGAAAAAAAAAATGAAGAGGTTGTAGCCATGCACCCATGCTTCCCCTGCTTCCAGCCAGCCCACCCGCCGTCGTTGCTCTCCGGCCAGCGACCGACTCTGCCCTGCTCCCCTTCTCCACCGCCACTGCAGGGCAACCCGTTCTCCATCACTACCACTGTTTCCCGGCCAGCGCCCCTCCCCCCTTCGTTGCATTGCAGCCGCTCATGCCCCCATCCCACTCGAGCGAGAAAAGGGCGCCTCATCCCACCTTCCACCGTAGTCATCCTTCTAATCCTTCGCTGGAGATGACGTTGCCAATGTCCTATCCCGTCGTAGCCCCGTGACCGTCTTCCCTTTTGCTCCTAGCCTCGATGACCACCACTTCCTCTCCTCCATCGGCATCAACAACAGAGCATCCTCTGCTGTTGCAGCCACCAGACCCTCCCCTACCTCTGGACCTTGTCAACGTCGCCGCAGCCACCCAGCCTTCAGCCTACACGTAGCCTCCCAACCTCAGCCAGCAACCTCCCCTCCTCGTTGCACCGTAACCGCCACAACCACATCTTCCCCCATCTGAAGCCCATTTGGTCAATAGGGGCCCCTACTTCCCCTGCTTTTGGCCAGGCCCACTACCGCCGCTGCTTCCCGGTCAACGACTACTGTCGTCACTGCTCCCTGGCCAGTAGCCTTTCCCTCCTTGCTGCTCCACCCTGCTCGAGCGAGAAGGACCGCAGCCGCTTCTTCTTGGCCAGCAGACCAACCCCCTTATCACTTCTACCGTCGATGACGTTGCTCGAAAGGGGCCCCTACTTCCCTTGCTTTTGGCCAGCCCCATCGCCGCCGTTGCTTCCCGGTCAACGATGCTGGCCCCAACCGCGCCACCATCACTACTTCCCCTTGGGTCGCAAATGCAATCACTTGACCATCCCTCCTCGTGGTGATCAAAACAAGGCAACCACGACCACCTCAGCCACCGCTGTTTCCTCAACCGCATGCGATCTCTCAGCGTCACCAGTGCCTCCTTTCGCAGTGCGATAGAGACAGAGCAACGCTGCCTTCCATCCGCACTGTCGCAGCCACCGCAACGACGAGCCCTTGGCAGCGCTACCCCTAGCCGCACCACCATCACTACCTCCCAGCCCTTAGTAGTAGTGATCCCTCCACGCCACCATCGTTGCCTTCCCTTGGGTCGCAACTGCAGTCGCTCGACCATCCCTGCTTGTAGCGATCAAAACAAGGCAACCGTGACTGCCATAGCCACCGTCGTTTCCTCAACTGCATGCGATCCCTTAGCATCACCAGCGCCTCCTTCCTTAGTGCGACAGAGATAGAGCAACGCTACCTTCCATTCGTGTCGTCGCAACCACCGCAGCGGTGAGCCCTTGGCGGCGCTACCCCCAACCGCACCACCATCGCTGCCTCCTAGCCCTTAGCAACAACGATCCCTCCACGCAGCGATCGCAACAAGCAACTTGCCTTCCATGCAACGATCACAACTACATCCTCGCATCCTCGTAGCAACCCTTCATTCCCACAATGCTGCCACCGATTGCATCACAACAACAACACCGAATAGGGCAGTGATTGATGACCTAGTCCCGACACCAGAAACAAGAGTTGAGATTACAGATTTGCAGTCTTACACAATGGCCATCGGTAACTCAATGAAAGTACAAATGTAAGCATTGGAAATTAGAATTGAGAACCAGTTGTAAGAAACACTTAATGATTTCAAAAAAAGCCTATTGGAGAGCCTCAGCAAATTTCAACAAGATGGGGGCTCAAGTTTTACGTTGCACAGATATATAAATATAGGAAAAGGGCCCCAAGATTGTGACACAAACTACTCACACATGAAGGTGGAATTTCCGAGATGGGAAGATGGAGATCCGACCAGTTGGATCTCTAGGGCAGAAAATTTTTTCCGTTTCCATTAGATCCTAAAAGAATCCAAGGTAGAAATAGCCTCAATCCAACTAGACGAAGATGCAATCTAGTGGTATGATTAGTATGAAACTTACCACGGAGTTCCCTCGTGGAAGTAGTTCAAGAGAGGGCTTCTTGTTCGCTTTGGCCCATCAGAATACGAGAACGTTGATGGATAGCTCGCCAAAATTCGTCAGACTTCTACAGTGTTGGAATATCATAGCAGGTTTGAAAGATTATCAAATCAAGCTAGAGCTTGGTCTGAACGACAACTCGTGTATACATTTATCGAAGGACTCAATCTAGATATTCGGTGTGAAGTTAAGGCTCGTCAATCACGCACTATGATAGCTACGATCTCATTTGCATACCTACATAAGGAAAAAATCAGCATAGAATATCGTCGAAACAGAGGTGTCAATAAATAGGTGATCAATAAGCAGCCCACCCCATCTACTCCCAGTCGAAATCCTAACACTCGAAGACTAACTCGAGAAGAGCTCAAAGAAAGATCAGCGAAGGGTTTGTGTTGGCATTGCGATGAAAAGTGGAGTAAGGAGCACCGATGAAAACAAGGGAAACTTTTGATGATTGAGTCAAATGAGGAGAAACCGAAAGCAGAAGAGTTGGATTCCGATCATGAAGGTGTGAAAACTGATGAAGATACTGAAGCTATCACACATACAGTGCATGCATTGGCTAGCTACGCTAACCCACAAACTATGAAAATTAGAGGAACTTTGAAACATCAGCCTCTCACTATTTTGATTGATACTGGTAGCACTAACAATTTTGTGGACAGTAAAGTTGCCGATCGATTAGCCTACCAGATTGAAGGTTGTGACATATTGGAAGTAAAGATCATTGATGGACGGATTTTAACTTGTGATAGTAAATATTTAAAGATAAAATTGATTATACATGACTAGGAGTTTCTTGCAATGATTACTATACTGAAATGTTGACCTATTGCTTACACTATAAAAAAGTGGAGACCATACTTACTTGATCAACGTATTGTGATGTGCTATAGATAGCCTATGACTGAAGTACTGAAAGAGAAGCTCTCCGAGTTTAATGCTGCTCAACCTTAAGGACAAGGTTGATTTGAAGAGAGAGGAATTGTTAGGATCCCATTATTTTCTAAGCTTTTGAATAATATTTATTGAGTCTGTTTGGTTTAGTTAGGGTCGGATAGAAGTTTATTTAATATTTATTATTAGAGTTTAAGTCCTGGTTGACTCTATGTGTAACTCTATGAATAGTGATGTAAGACAATGAAATATTATTCAGTCTTTTGACAAATCCTAGGAGGTCGATCCTCTCGAAGTGATCAAAGAGGCTGATCCCCTCAAAGCGATCATTCTCTTTTCTCCCCTTTCTTTCATGATAAAATCCTAGGGTCTTATCACTATGATGAGGAGTTGTTATTTGGGTAACAAAAGATAAGGGTCTATGTATCTTTGTAGACTTGTGTTGAATCTTGTAATCATTAGACATAATAATAGCATGACACCAAGTTGATAGCAATGTGGAGTGACGATTGCGTAATAGTTGGTTGTTTCAATAGATATATGAACACTGT